CATAAGTGCCGGTGGAACGGCCCGGCGGAGCAGGAGTGTGCCGGGTGCAGCGGGAGCTGAGGCCCGAGGGGGGCGGGGGAGGAGCTGGATGGATGGAGAAGGTGCTGGGGAGCCAGGGACAGGCCTGAAGCTGGGATCACTGGGAGGCTTTGCTGGAGGTGCAGGGGGCACAGACCAGCCTGGAGGCCTGAGGGGATCGGATCCCGATCCAGGGTATGAACTGGAAGGAGTGAGGACACAACAGCTTAGCCGGACCGATGGAGAAGGTGAAGGGCTCTGGAGGGTCCCGGCACCTTCAGCCACGGACGCCAGGCGCACAGAGAAGCCCCTGATGGGAGGGAGCAGGTGCAGCAGAGGACGAAACCCTCTGTTCCGGAACCTCCGGCCTCTCCGTGCCTCCAGGGCCCCTCCTCCTGCTGAGGGGCCTGTACCTGTCTGGTCCTCTCGGGCACCTCGGGGCCTTGCCCAGGTGACCTGGGCATTTCCTCAGGTGAAACGCATGACGAGGGATCTGGCAATGTTGGAGGCTCCAAGAGGCCCTTGCACCTGCGTTAGCTCCCGTCAACACCGCAGGAGGCAGGCTGCTATGTGCAAACTCCTATTCACCCATCACAACCCTTCTCGAGTGGCCCTTCTTCTGGGAAATGCCCTTCACCACCACCAAGGGGCGCTCATACCAGGTTCCTGCAGCTCCTGTCAGCAGCGCATGGCTTAGTTATTACACGTCTATGTCCTCCATTAGGCCAGGGTTCAGCTCTGCACCCCCCTCTCGCCCCGACCCAGGAAAATGCCGGCTCAGAGTTAACGCTCGATAAGTATTTGCAGCAGGGACCAGCGGATTGGGGCTCTGCCCATAAACGTCACCCCACTAACTGGCTGCATTCACCTCCAGATGGCTGAGCCTCTTGCTGGCTGTACCATCTCTACACTGACCCCCACGCTGAAACACAGGGGCACCCGTGCGCTCCCCATCAATGACTTGCTTAGGGGTGAGCTGGCTGCCGCCTCGCAGAAGGGCGGGGTGCCAGATGGCTGGGGCGCCAGGTGGCAGAGTCCCTGGGGTGCACGCCGGAGGTTCTGAGAGCCAGGGAACCCGGGTTTGTTCTCACTGGTTGAGCAGGGCTGTGGGGAAAGGGCTATGGCTTCTCTAAGTCGGCCGGCCGGGCACCCAAAGGGCCTGGGGCAGGAATCACGCCCTGATCGCACACCGGCTTCCTGGTTACGGTGAATCCTCGGGATAAGAGATAAAGAAGGGCCTGCAGGAGACCGGAAGGGCATTTGCCCCAAATGCTTTCACAACCTGCTGATTCCTGATTGCAAACCAAGGCACAGAGAGGCTCAGGAACTTGCCCAGGTCACACAGCAAGTAAGTGGCAGAGCTGGGATTCAAACCCAGGAAGCCGGGGCCATAACCTGTGCTCTTAACCACCAGACTGTGGCCGCTCCAGCCGCTCCAGCTCTGCACCCTGCGGGCGCCTCCCCTCCTGCCTGCCCTCCTCTGCGTGAGTTCTGTGTCTGAGTGGAACACCCAGCTTTCCTCCTCGGCCGGCCCCACTCGGCGCTACAGCCTAATCCCAGCGAGACGCCCATGCAGCAGGTTAGCTGGGCAAGACACGTGCCGTGGGGGCGTGTGCAAGCGCGTGCAAGCATGCTCCTGTGTGCGCATCTGAACATGTGCATTTGTGCCTGTTGCCACGTGTGTACAGGTGGGGGGCGATCGGGCGGGGGGGCGGGGGCGGCTCCAGCCTCACCTTCAAAGAGGAAGGTCTCGTTCCAGTGGGGGTTCAGGTTCTTCCTCTTCACCTTGGTCTCCAGCTTGTGCTTCTTGTCGGGCAGCAGGTAGATCTTGACGAAGGGGTCGCTGGTGCCGCTGAAGTCCTTGGCCGGCAGCTCCTGGGCCTTCATGATCTTCACGGTGAGCGTGGACTCCTGGAAGTTGTAGCCGACGCTGAACTGGATGCGGCCCAGGTTCTCTCGGCTGCAGCCCTCGTGGGCCTCGTCCTCCTCGGAGCCTGGGGAGAGCTGGTGGGGAGAGGCCGGCCGGGTTGGGAGGGTTCTGCTTCCCGGAGCCCCCACTGCAGCCCGGCCCCGTTAGGAGGCCTCTCGCGCCCCAAGCCGGCCGGAGCTGGGAGCTGCTCTGTCCCTCTGGTCGCCATGGGGCTCGGGGGGGGGGGGGGGCGCCCACCTCCACACCCAGGTGAGGATGTCAGACAGGGCGGGAGCCTTGCGCAGGCTCACAGGGGGAGCGAGGGAGGGCACAGCTGCTCGGCTCCCGTCTCCTGAACCCCAGGGCAGTGCGCGCCCCACTCCCCAGCCTCGCCTGGATGTCCGCTGTCCTCCCTGCTGCACCCCAGGCTGCCCCCGCCTCCCCTGGGGCCATGAGCTCCCTCGGCCAGCTTCCCACCCCCCCAACCTTGGGGGGCGTCTTGTGTTTTGTGAAACACAACCACCAGCAGGTGAGGGGACTGTGCACCCCTGTGACCTTTCCTTGGACAGTGACTGGGGTTCTGAGGATGGTGGGGTTCACAAAAGGAGAGGTGAGTTAGGGGAGCCTGATGTGACGGGGTTGGGGGGCCCGGGGGGGGGGCAGCAGAGTTGTTTAAAAGGAGCCTCAGGTGCCAGTACGCACACCAGGCGAGGGCCACGGGGAGGGAAGACTACGCCGATTCAGTCCCCACCCCTCAGGGGGGCACTTGGGCCGACCCAGCAACGGACAGACGGACAGGTGCACGGAGGGCGGCGCGGGGTACCATTCTCAGGCCGACACCGAAATAGGAAGGACTGGGGGGGGGGGG